TCCAGGGGCACTGTACTCCCGGAGAGAAGGTAATTTGCTTGCAACAGCTGCTGGAGTAAAGGTGACGCTGGGTAAGCCAACGACATTCGTTGGGAGTTGTTAGGGCAAAGACGCTTTGGTATTTTTAGTTACCGAGCCAAGCTGCAGGAGTAGAACGTTCGCAGCATCCACAGCAGTAGTTGTTAGGCCACTCGCCGTCCTGATTGGTGGCATACCGGGTATAAGTTTTCTTTTGCCATTCCCAAATCTGTATAGTAGTTTGGTGTTACTTGTAAATTGCAGCACCATATTCTCCTGCCATTTGTACTTAACAACTCTAATGAGTGACGTGCAGTAGTTTCTGATGACTTTGTAATCTTGTCATGTGATATCATATGGGCTTAGCAAATGTTGCCTCTAGATTTCACCTATTCTGTTGATCCATTTATGGATTCTGCTACAGATCCACGTATTGGTCCGGCGCGATGCTCGTACTGGTACAACCATCAGGGCTGATTGTATGACCCAGTTAATTTTGTCTTTCAGTTCTTTCCCCGCGTCATTCGCTGACCTGAGTGTCTGTAGGTCTCAGGCAACGGTTGCTGCTAAGCTGCGCAGCTTAAACTAGTCCGTTGTAGTTCGTTGAGTCGCTCTTTCGTTAGCAATAATATTGACATGACACACATAACCAAATGTTAGGACTGAATGGTCGTTACGGCCCAGTGGAGGATCGTATGCTACTGACTCAACCATCAACTTCATTAGTTGGGATTACGTGCAGGAGTAGTGGCTTGTTTGAGAAGCGGTGTCTGGTTGGTCGGTGCCCATAGTTATACAAAACTGCTTTAGCCATGAATTCGAGGAGTTTCGATGTAAATGATGGCCCACTAGGGGACATTGATGCTATTTAAGGAAAATTAAAAGTTATCCGTTATAAGGTAGTGAGGGTACTTTGTGAAACACCATAGCAGTGGACGTTTAACAGAATGTTATCTCTGTCTGCTGTTGAGTTCGGAGTCCTATAGATAACTGCTAAGAGGCACGTATCACTCGTCTTCTATGAACCAACATCTCGACCTGCTAGGTGCAGTCGGCAAAATAGTGCGTTGGGGATAACAAGGAAATTTTCGGTAAGACCCTCACGTTTCAAATATTCGCCATAGTAGAGAGCGACACCGCCAATGCGAGATGGAAGATCATTTCGAATGACTGACATCTCGCTGAGTTCAATCTCTAGATCAAGTATGTCGTTTGAAAGCCAAGTTTCAGTAAATGCTATGAGGTCCCAAGTTGTTGTTTCATGTCAGTGCCGCAATTCCGAGAGCTTAGAATACAATCCCTGAGTGTTGGTGTAGCAGCATTGTATTTGTTGACGCATCAGGAGCTCGGTTCGCTGTGAGTGACCGGCACAAATAGTGCCGGTCTGCTGAAGTTTTTTGGAACGGTTGTTTACACAGTTGGCTGGTTTGAGATGGGTACAATTAAGGCTGGCTCATCTGTATCTGAAGTCTGTACTAATTGAAGGAATGGTCTTAACCGTATTTCTGGTGGCCTAGTTTCCTTTTGTTATGCCATGCTTGGATTGCCACGGACACCATTTCGGGTGCAGCCAAGGTAACTTGCAAAATTCGTGGCCCTTTACCTTGGTCGTTTGTGGAAGCAATTAGACGGTGACGTCAAAAGCCACGACATTCTACATGTCGTAAGATTCTGCGATGTACCTCCATTCTTTGATGTCGTGCTTCTGTCGTTCACTGCTGTCGTCATGCTTCAATTCTGGCACACCATGAACCAGTACCACATTCTTCATATCATGTTGACGTGATAAACTAGGGTTCGATTTCCGTTTCAGTATTTCCGCCCACGGTCTGTAAGGAAAAGTGTGACACTAGCAGAAGAGTTCACTAGTATGTGGCTTACTACGAGAACATCTTCCAGCTCGCGCTTATTGCTAAACGTTACTCGCAGTAAGCGTGGTTCCACCACGTGTGGAGATGATGGATTTCCTGAAAGGCGTGTAAGACTAGTTGGGAGTACTTTCAGTCCGAGTGCGCAAGTTATTTCAGCCCAGCTGTTTTGCTTCTCGGCTTGTCTACCTTTTAGCGATTCGATAGTGGGTTCTGGGACGTTTGAACATATCACTGTCATTGCCTTTTGGTTGCGCTTCATCCGTGAAGTACTCACTCTCCGAAACGTGATAGCCAATTCGCTCTCGACGTTAACATTGTCGCCCAGTAATAAAGGGAATGATCCCCGAGGGATAAGAACAACTCTGAGAATAAACCCATTGTGGATAGACAACCGATATACGCCTCAAAATGCTAAATATTTCCGATCCGAAATAACTATGTAGTCGATGGGTACCAGGCCACAAATCGACCAGGTCTCTTGTGATCTGCTCAGCATGTTGCTCAAGACCGAGGCACAATCAACACACTCCAACAGCTGACGTGTCGCTAGGTATTCGGCCAGCTACTGAAGCTGAGGACTTAAGAAAGCAACGCGGAATCGCCGTTGCACAACTCATTACCATTCAAGAAAACGGCCGACAGCCGAGCCCACAACTATCGGCATTAACCCTCTCCCAGAAGCCGCATCCACAAATAGGCTGATAACCTCGAAGCCTTCATCTTCTTGTATACTAAAATGCAGGTTCTTCTGAATCAACTGCCTAAGCTCCGTACTCATCAGGTTTCCACTCCTTTGGGCATAAACATGATAACCGAAGCATGGCTGAATATGGAGAACACATATGCTGAGATAACCCTTTACTGCATGTGTCTCCTAAGAATCAAGCAAATAAACAGAGGAGGCGGCGTTTTCCTGTATTACCGATCTACCCACATATCGATGTTACCGACGATTTTGAAGCGCTAGTTGTCTATCCTCTTTGGTACCCTCTACGTTTGAGACGTGGTGATATGTTTACTTGCATTAGTTTACCGCCATCCTATGTTCACCCTGAAAATGGATCACCGCCTACCGTCTGCTTTAAAGCGAATCTTGGCAGCGCCGTGCGTTCAAGTTCCTTCGGTAGGGGAGTTCGATATGCACATAAATGTAGTCCAAGCTTCGCTCAGCGAGCAACTCAAAGCTGACTTGCGAGAAGTAATCGTCGATGTACCGCTGTACACCAACATGACCGACCCCGCGAGATTCAGAACTAGCGGTGATCCATCTGTCTTATGCCTTGTGCTCACCAACGGGAAAATAATGATCGCTGGGGCACCTATTATGAGACGCTGCTCTTCCGTTACATCTGTTATCTGGAATACACCTGTGAAAACAACGAGGAACTTTACGTCGTCACACATTACGGCAGACTGTCTGACTTCGTTCAGGCATCCAACTGGTCATTCCTAGTCGAGATGCCTCCCGATGTCGCCTGGAAGGTATTTGTCATCCAGTTCACCGGGTTAGTAGCAAATGTGACGGCAACAAAAGTCTCTTGATCGAACTAGCTGAAGTCTTTGCTGAGGAGCCGGACCCGAAAAGGCATGGCATTAAGG